TGGACCAGTTCACCTCCGTCTCTCCTTCTCTTTTTTCTCTCTCTCTCTCTCTCTCTCTCTCTTTTTCTCATTTAGTTTTTTTGTTCGGCATAACATATCTCATTTCTTCGATCTGTTTGCGTTGCGGCGTACACCGAAATAATAGCCTCCTCTTTCATTGGCCTCCAGAACTCAGCTCGGCAAGGGTTGCCAAGAATAAAAAGGATTTGAGCCAACACTTTGTGTTCTCCTTGCACCCACATAATCAACGAGTCTACTATTTTATTTAACTTCTTACCACCAAGAAAATAAGACTCACTAAAATCCATTTTAATTCCCCAAAAATTATTTTTACATTCAAATTTATAGCAACCCCAAAATTTACGATTCAAAAAATAATTTCGAGATTAAAAAATCATAAATATTTATTCGCCGAAAATAAATATTTAAACGTTAACATTTTATTTTTCTATCCATCGTATAAATATAGTAATATATAAATATAAATGTAAATATAAATTTTGGTAGATACATTGAGGTTTGATACTACGATTTTGAGGGAAGGGACACACATGAACCCACTGAAAATTTCCGAGCAATTGATCTGTAAAACGATTCCCAGTACTCTCGCACGAGTAATCCACTCGTACTGTGAACTAAAATTGACGACCAACGGAAATGGGTAACCGTTGACCTCTATACCAAAATATATTATATCATTATACATATATTAATCATTGTTATTATCTTTCTCATAATTTATAATAATCTATACTAATTATTAAATATTAATAATAATGATATCAAAAATTTAATAATGTACATCCTATGAATAATTTATACGTAATTAACAGCTTATTGAATTCATCAAATTCATACATTTATCTATACATCTCCTGTAATTATATTCACCAAAAATCTATTCATAAAGCTAGAGGTTACGCTGTCTGTTTAATTTATTTACAATCGTCGGAGTAGAGTCTAAAGATAGCAGCAGTGAACAAAAATGAAAGATGGATCTTCATTCTGGAAATAAAATCTAAAAAAAAAACAAAACTCGTGATGTGAAAATTAACAAAAACAATAGTTTTTCAGATAGAGACAGACATGGAACAGTTGAAGGGACCGAGACAACGGTAAATGGACACACACGTGACAACTGGATAAAACGAGGCAACGCACATGTGTTGCCCAACACACGCTCACTTACATTGCTGTGCTATAAACTCTAATGCTATCTATAGATACAATATATGTATTGCACATGCACAATACAGGGTACAGAGTATAGTGGATGACAGTATGATATGCTATAGAGAATGTAAGTTATCCTTCTGTCACCCTACCACGGCGGTCCACAACCTGGTCCATGTAACCATATCAACCATATCAGCCATCCCTGTGAGGCACAATATATGTATATCTATATTTACATGTATGTATATGTATATGGACAAACGGTTGAGTACAAAGTGATATACATATATATATATATATATATATATCTGTACATCAGTAACGAAATCTATAGAATAGTTAGGAGTGGAGAATCTATCCATCTATGTCTATATATACATATCAATTGTAGTGACGTCTCTGTCCAATATACGATACAAATCGAATTCGCATGTCACTCGGTACTTGGAGTAGAGAGTTTTGGTGATTCTACCAAAGCGGTAACGAACTTCCAGAGCATATCCGCTTAGACTCCAGGGCAATCAATTTTAACAACCAATGTATATCTTTATATATTTATACGTATACATTTATAAGTATATCAACATTTAAATGAGAAGATATTTTTTTTTAATGAAAATAAATATTTTTTTAAACCATATCTTATTGATTGGAGGAAAATATATTTTCTCTCTTTTTAAAAGAATTGAAACAGGCCACTTTTTATATTTACTCTCAGTGAAAATTCGGCAGATACGAAACTGTTGTGCTAGATTAATTTTGGGAGAATTAATAATTTTAATATTTTAATAAAATTAACCAGTCGAAGCATTAAAATCCTTGCGCTAATTTGTTTTTTCCTTGGAAGGCCGATCATCAATTATTAAACCGGGATTTAATTTAAAATGCTTTTTTAAAAATCTTTCAGTGGTTGAGCTTGAAAAATTTATTCTTCTCAAATAAATAGTTTTATATTTTTATCTTTTTCGGCGATGATAAAAAAGTATAAATCCTGTAGTAAATCCATGGATTTTCACAATGCCATCCAAGATCTCGGTCTTATATATTTCTTCTTCTCTTCTCTCATATTATTTTTGTTTTTTGTTAGAGTTGAGAGGCATGGAGCCGCGTGGTGCACCTGATCGCGTGCACTTTATGCCCGTCGGAGCCCGATTCTCACCCGGAAAAGGTACTCGTGCTAACTTAAAACTTCGCCCACCGATTTAACGGATTTCTCGTCATCATCCCACAATCTCGAGTTAAATCCTTCGCACGAGGCGTCAACTCCAAACCCACGTAACTTTACCACAATTTATATTTTGTTTTGCTTTGTTTCATTTATTTTTAGTATTTTCCTCCCGTTTCCACAATCAAAATGACTCCACGCTCTATTTAACCCGCGAAATTAAAAAACTGAAACCCAAAAATAAAAAATCAAAACCCAGTTTATTTTTATCAATAAAAAATCCGTGTCTCCCAACTCCTAAAAATATATACAATATTTCTTTCCTTTCTTCCTCTTTTTTCTTTACACTTTATATATGTATATCAGTGTTTTGTGTTTTTTTTATTTTTTTATTATTTTTTTTCCATTTCCGAGTCTTCTTTTGGTGCGAAGAAGAAATCTAGGGCAAAGAATCACCCTCGTGGAAGAGAGAGTATCGAGAATACTCGCGACTTGTGTCCTGATATACGAGATATGCATCTGCATTGATATATTTATTCACATATAACACAGACAGCTCTTCAGGTCTATTTTATCTTTCTATATATCTTATGCATAAACATGCAATATTATTGTAAAATACAAAATATAAAATATATATATATATATATATATATATATATATATATATATATATGTAAAGCAATTACAGTATAACTGGATGAAGCTCATAGGATTAACTTAACTATTATCCAATGTGTTTGCTATTAAATTATTTACTGAGTTGGTGTAGTTAAGAGTCTGACTTAGCATAAACTAATACCACTACTGACTTCCGACTCCCGACTCTAACACTCCCGGTACTCCAGTCTCTACCACTTACACTGGTTTTACAACTTATATTATTATATACACTCCCACTACTTATAGTTGTATTCCACATAATACTGCTATACTACTGGCATACCCCGTACCCGGTGTTGCTATTATAAGTAAAACCATTACTACTGAAACTTGTGGTGACAACTGTCTGACTTGATAACTATAAATATGTATCTCTAAGTGGTAAAACTCAATGTTATATTAGAGTTAATTTTCCTTTCATTATTTATTTTATAAATTTTATTAAATATTTGTAATATTTGTGCGATACTAAATTGATTAGAATAGTTAAATTAATTTAATAAAAATTTTTTTACACAAAAAAAATTCTACTACACTGAAAAAAAAAAAAAAAACTTTTAGTAAAAAAATTTTCTCGATACAAGAATTTATGTTCTTGAAAATTTTCAAGAATATATATTCTTAGCTCAAGAAATTGTTAAATTGATTTAAATAATTTTTACTTAATTTAAATAAAGCTATTCTTTTGTTTATCTATTATCCAAAGATAAATATTGATGTTCTTCTCTTCAGAAATTAATAATTAATAATAATAGAGTATTTGATCGACAGCGAATTTCTTGAGCCAAGAAATTGTTAATTGAGCAAAAGTATTTTTTTTTCTCAGTGTATTTATGGAAAACAATAGAATTATTTTTGAGTTCCATTAGAAGCCAAAGCTCTTTTTAAACTATTAAAATATTTATTTATTATTTATAATTTGTAATATAATATTATTGCGAAAAAAATAGAATAAAAAATGTATAATTCAAGTGAAAAGTGAAGCATTTTTCTACACAAGCTCAAGCCTTAGTGCCCTTGTAGTATCTGATGCATTCGTTGTAAGCTCTCTCTCAAGTGGTGGATTGAATACTCGAAGGTACTCTGCAGAAGCTCCCCATATCCCTACGAGCATATTCTCTCGAGGATCGAAATAGGAAAAATCCAAGAGAATCTAGGCTCCGAGGAGTGCAACAGAAAGCTACACTATAGAAAAATGATTCAAGAGTACTATACATTTTTATTTTTTTTTTTTTTCAGATCTTTTTATCACGTAAACTTTATTCTCAAATTCCATTTACCTCCAGTCCTTTTACGTTTATTCCATTATTGATAATTGGATTCAGTTAAACAGCTAAAAATAGTTTAATAGTATTATTCACATTATATCTTTTTTTCGACCCCGTTGAGCAAATATTTTTTTTTCTTTATTATGATAATATAACACACATTAATTAATCTTCATATTTCTACTGCTTTTATTCAACCGTGATCAAGACTTTGTTGTTTTAATCACACAAGGCTTATTACGCTTTAGATAATTATTACCAAATAAAATAGTCAACTATGAGTTATGATTGTTGGTGATGTAACCGAGATAAAACAAGGCTTGCTGCAATGCAAAATTAATCGTCACTAGCAGCGTCATGCTGCTAAATAAAACAAAGTCAACACATATAATATCGATTTTACCTTTACTCATTCTTTTAATTTTTCCTTTAAATTATTAATGGCTTCAAAATTCAATAATTTAATTTTCAAATGACTCTTATTATAACTCTGCATATTTTATATCATCAATCTTATCATTTGATAACACTCACGTCATATTAATTTCCTTAAAATCAAATAATTAATTATTTATTTAATTATTTTATCATTATCAGTAATAAATCAATACTTACCAAGGTAGAGATTATTTTATAAATTATAAACTCAGCGTCTGTGCTAGATACTTACTATACGGTTAAAAAAATCAGTTCTCATCTAAAAGTTGTGCCGGGCGTTTTAAAACAAAATGTTTAATTCAACAGAAATAAATTTTCTGGACGTTAAATTGAGCTGGACAGACTACATACTTTTTGGAACGCTGCTGAGCATGAGTGTACTAATAGGCGGGTGGTTCGGATTAGTGCGAAAGCAAACCACCACCACTGAATACAATTTTGGTGGTAAAACGATGAATTATTTTCCTGTGTCAGTGAGCATTTTGACCTGGTAAAAATAATCCTCAATAATCAATTATTAATTATCTAGACTAGAAACACCAGCAAACAGCCAATAATTATGAATTATATAATAATTATCCAGCCATCTGTCGGGGATAGCTTTGGTCGGCGTACCTGCAGAAATTTATCAGTATGGAACCCATTACTTGGCAACCATTGTTTCAGTTATATTAACTGGTTTGGTAACGGTCTACATATGTTTGCCAGTTTTTTACCATCTCCAGCAACCAAGTGTCTTCGGCTACCTCCAGCTCCGGTTTTCTCGTTCCACTAGACTTATTTACTCATTTTTCTACATCATCACTCTGTTTATTTACGTCCCGATCGTCATTTACGTTCCAGCGCTGGGCCTTGCCCAGGTCACCAAAATAAGTATTCACGTCATTGCGCCGGTACTTAGTATCATTTGTATAATTTACACGAGCTTGGCAAGTATTTATATTTTATATCGACGTTCTAATTAAAAAATTGTCTAACTCCATTTTAGAGACTCTTCCATTTGTACGAAAAAAACAATTAGTTAAAAATTTATTGTGACTTTAAAAAACCATTTAATCCTAATATAAAATTGAGATGAAATGTATGTGGCATCAAACTATTCGTAACGTGATTGGTCGAATATATCATAAGCATGAAAATATACACAAACTCTATAGTCAAGACGCGCGCTTGCGCGCGAAAATTAAATTCTAGTGTCATTAATATTTAATGCAGGTATAATATTTTGGTTTGAATCATTCAAATAATTTATAATTGGACTATTGCTACATCAAAATATTAAAAAATCACCCTCAAAAAAAATAAGGAGTTAGACAAATTGCTAATTAAACCGTCGATATTAACTTATAAAGAAATTAATAATAACAAGTCTTAATGTGACAGGGAGGATTAAAGGCCGTTGTTTGGACAGACACATTGCAATTTACAATTGTAGTTGTCAGTATTGTCGCAATATTCGCCATAGGCGTAAAAACTGTAGGAGGATTCGCTGAAATTTTTCGAGTCACTGATCAAGGAGGACGTCTTATTTTTCTTGAGTAATGTTTTTTTTTTTTATAAAAACTTAAAAATAGTATAAGCTTAAGAAATTATCGAATTCATATAATTAAACTTGTTCGATAGTTTGAATGTTTAATGAATACTTTTTAATAAAGATTGAAAACTCGATAATCAATTATCAACGAAAAAAATTATAATTAAATGAATATTTGAAATGGTACATTCGGTATTGATTTTTTGCTTAATAGTTTATATTGTCAAAAATACTTCTTATATACTTGAGCTTATACTCTCGGCAATAAATAATTTTTTTTCAGCTTAAATCCAAGTCCTTTTGTCAGAAATAGTTTTTTCGCAACGACTCTAGGGATGACTTTACATTTTTTTGCAGTAATGAGCGTAAATCAGGGCGCTATACAAAAACTTTTGTCTGTACCGACTGAAAAAAATGCGGCAATGTAAGTATATTTACAAATAATCCTAAAAAATATCTATAAATATATTTTTGATAACAAAAAAAAAAAAGGAATAATAATCTACAGAGCAACGCTTATCATGTCAATAATGGAAATATTCATGAAAATATTATTCGTTTTTATTGGATTGATAATATACACTCGTTATCGGAATTGTGATCCAGTGTCGACAAAGGTTGATCAATAAATAATAATCAAACATCAAATAGCTGTCATAACATTTGCCTCTGAATAAATAATTCAAATTATTTTCACAGATAGTCGATCGCAGTGACCAAATTTTTCCCTTTTTCGTGATGGAGGTCACTGGACACATTCCAGGACTTGCCGGGTTATTCCTAACCGGGCTGGGGTCTGCTGCGCTGTCGACAATGAGCACAAATCTCAACGTGATATCAGGAATCGTCTATGAGGACTTTATAGAGCCCTGGATCCCGGACAACGCCGCGAAAGACGCGAACGGAACCAAAATAATGAAGCTCCTGGTGGTGATCGCCGGCTTCATTTCCATAGGCCTCGTTTTCGTGGTCGATGGTCTGGGGACCGTTTTTCAGATCAGCATAAGTCTGAGGTCCGTGATCGACGGGCCAATGGTCGGGATCTTCTTTTTAGGACTTATGGTCCCGTGGGTAAAAACCCGAGGCGCTTTGATCGGGACATTTGTCTCTTTTGTCTTTATGCTGTGGTACGTCGGCTCCAGCGAGTATTACAAACTAAAGTTCAAGACGTTTTCCGACACTTTGCCAATCAGCGTTGAACAATGTCCATATCCGCTCAATAATACTGTCATACATAGTTCGCCGTCTCAAAATGAGATTGAGGAAAATAGTATTCCGTTGATTTATCAAATATCATTTTTGTATTACACGGCAATTGGATTTATTGTGATGTGTGTTGTAGCAATTTCAGCGAGTTTTATTTTAAAAGAAACTGATATTGATAACGTTAATCCCGAACATTTTACTCCATTTGTTAAAAGGTAAATTTTTATTCCCTTTTTTTTCCAATAATAAAAAATATTTTTTCCAGAAATGAATGGAGGATTTAAAACCTTTCTAAAATAAATACTAACAATGTTGTTTTATATTGATATTTCGTATTTGTAACAGACGTATTGTGTTTGTATTTTAATTTTAAACGTTAAATTTTTTAATAATAATAACTAGCAACTACAGTCACTATAGTGAAAAAAAAATTAACTTGATTCAAGAGAAAAATTCTTGAACCAAGAAAATCATTTTGAAGAGAGTAATTGTCTTGTATCAACACGAAAAATTCTTGAATCAAGTAAAATTTACTTAAACCAATTAAAAATTTTTTAGTTTAAGAATTTTTTTACTCAAATCAAGAAGATTAAGTTCTTCAAAATTATATACTTGATTCAAGAACATTTTTTTTTCTGTGTATGTGATTGCCGTGACTTGTAAACTAAATAAAATTAAAATTTTGCTTTATTAAATAATGACTTTTGTTAAATTGCACTGTACTTTTTTAACTATTGACGTTTTTAAAGATATATAAGCTCATCCCGATATTACACTCATCAAGAGCTTTTATTTGAGTACCCACATGCATTTTGATATATTTTTCATATATACATATATATATAATATATATAAATATATGAAAAATTAATGTGGGTACTCAAATGAAAGGTCTCGATGAGTGTAACATCGGGGTGAGCTTATATCTTCAAAAATATCATTAGTTAAGAAACGACCTTGTATCTTGTGAATTATTGATATTTTTAAA